ATTGTTTTTTGATCCTCCATCCTCATGAGCCGATGGGTTTTGTAAGAACAGGGGCTTAGGCAGGGTTTAGTTAGGGCAAGAAGGTGCTTGCGGTTCAGGGGTTCGGGGTTTTAGGGTTTTGAGAAGAAGCAAGGTAATATAGGGGCCATCAAAATGGAACCTTACACGAGTTTAGGGCTGGGGTTTGGGGTTCAGGAACAACCCTAAATCCGAGGCCCTGTACCCGAAGCCCTCAACCCTAAACCCGGACAATCATCTTCGATCCTAAGCCCTAAACCCCCACACCCTTTAACTGTTGCAGGATGTCCGGCTTGCAGGAGCAGTGGCTGTTTTTGCTTACTTTCTTTGCCTGGGTTGGCGCAGTGCAGGGGTCACAGGATGTCGTTCCGTTAATTAGGGGTTATATTGGAGTTCTATGAAGGTTCTGATAGGGTTCTAGCAGGGCTTTCTGATCAAGCTGTCGGCCCTAAACCCTGAACCCCCCAAAGCCCTAGCCCTAAACCCCCTCTGACTATAATCTGGCGGAGTTCGGCAGGTACTTCGAGGCCGAGGACCTGGACCTACAGTCCCCCCGACTCATCGGTTGAGGGTCTATGGCCTAACGTTTTGGGTTGTGAGGGTTTACATAGGGTTTAGGGCTTAGTGTGTAGGGTTAAGAGTCTTAGGGTTTAGGGTCTTGGGATTTATCTTGAGCTTAAACTTCTGAGCCCGCGCCTTCAACCACACCCTCTACCCCCATCCTGTAGTACGTACTGCTTTGCTAGCTAGCTTTGCAAATACCACCCGTCGGCAGTAATTCTGATGTTCGCTGTCATTGTACAGGTGATATGAGGATCTGTCCTCAGCGCCGCGACCCATTGTTTAGGAAGTGTTGCCCAGGTGCCGTTCAAGGGACAACGTGTGCGAATAGGCCAGACCAACTTCGCAAAAGCAACCGGAAATGTCATCCATGGCCGTCACACACAACATTGAAAACAACACGCTGCTATACACCCTTTACATCCATCCGTTATCTACTAAGTAACACCACTTAGACACATGTAGGCATGTAGGCACCAGACATCACCATATGCCAACATCATGCCACCATCGGATTCCGTTATGCCTTACATGAGATAGGCCATGGCGCAGAGGTACCCTTTTGGAGTTTTAGGCGATTCGTCGCTGTACTGCAAGGGCCCCAACAAGAAGCCCAGGAAGCTGGGAAACCGTCTGCAGGAGCTGCTTGGTGCCAGCGTCTGGTACGAGGCGATAGCGTGTGCAGGTGTGGCCCAACTCCTTCACAGGATCCGATCAGGTCCTGAAGTTGGCACGCTGGGTGTGTCCTACTTCGGGAACGACATCATGCTCGGCCCGATCAAAGAGCAAGTGGAGGCAGACTGGAGGGAGTTCATACGTGCCGTGAAGCTGAAATCGCAACAGGCTGTTTTCGTGATCGGTGGCTTTGCCGCGAAGTATCGGGGCCTGGAGCTCTCCGCAGACTATGACCACAACCTCGAATATGTGAGGAGTCTCGTGGAGAGCGAAGGTTTCTACGTGACAGACTTACGGCAGAAGGTGCAGAAGTGGAGGCTCTGCAGCGATGGCGTCCACTGGCACGACGATGAAAAGGAGGACGTCTGCGCCACCTGGGTCCGCCTGCTGCAGGGCGAAGTCTTCGAAGCTCCCTTCCCCGACTTCCCGGAGGAGACCGAGGCCCTAAACCCTAAACCCTAAACCCTAAACCCTAAAACCCTAAAAGAGGAGACCGAGGCGGTCGAGGAGGACTCCATGGACTCCTTGGAGTCGCCCCTCAGTTCGCCCCGAGAGCCACAAGGCCGGAGGGGGCCGGTGCTCTTCGATGCGCAGTGGGTTTAGGGGCCCTTACGGTTGATGATTGGGGTTTAGGGTTTAGGGTTTAGGGTTTAGGGGCCCTTACGGTTGATGATTGGGGTTTAGGGATTAGGGTTAAGGGTTTAGGGTTTAGGGTTTGCGGGTATGAGGGGTAAAGGGGTTCATACGGTTGATGATATAAGTCCCCTGCATTACCCATAAGAAGGAGTATGCCATAATTCCCACAGCTTAGGGTCCTGAAGGTAATGCAGGATTTATCTCATCAAGAGTATTGTTGTTGTCGGGGGTTTACGGTTTAGGGTTTCTACAGTTGTTGGAGGTTCTGTATATCAGTGTCAACGGCTTTATTCTGCCGAGGGTACGAGGCATAAGGAGTGCTTAAACCGTAAGTTGGATCGCTTTTTCGGTGGAGACTCCGCGGAGTCGGGGGCGGGGTGCTAAACTTCGGGGATCCCGTCGTTTAGGGGTTTAGGGTTTAGGGTTAAAGAGTTCTTAGGACAAGGAGTCTGCTTTGTCGAGTTGTATATTTTGGTTTCCCTGCTCCTGAAACTAAACTATGCGTTGATGCCATGTTCATGCTTCACCACGCCGCCCTCAACTCCACATCCTTCATTTCTGCTTCGGGGGCTACGCTGCCTAAACTGAGGTTTAAACCCAAAACCCTAAACCCCGAAACCCGAAACCCTAAACCCTGAACTGATCCTGATCTCTCAAGACTCTAAAGCCTTATGAAAAGCCGAGTCTCTCCTTCATAAGCTGGCCCATAAGGCCCTGCCCCAGCAGCCTGTTGGGGCCGGCGGCCGCCGCAGCCGCAGTTTCCCTCGTCTCCACGGGCGCCCAGGCTGCCCAAGCGGCCTTTGCCTCTGGAGGACTCGGAGAGGAGCAGCAAGCAACTGGGCTCTTGGTTTAAGGGATTTAACTGACGTTAGCATAATACGGAAACTATATTATTATTTACTATAGATCCCTATTTATGGTGACTTAGTAGTTAAGCTAGATCCCTGAACAAGAACCCAGGCAAGCCAAGACCAAGACCTTCTCCGTCACGGTCTTCCGCCAGAATCCTTATGATAGGCTCGGGATCCGTATGGAGGCCGTCTCTGGAGAAGGCTACAGCTCTGCAGCTCGCGTGCGGAAGATCCTGGAAGGTGGCCTCATCGACCGATGGAACCGGATGCAAGAGGAGAATGGCCTCCACGGATGGGGAGTCCAGGTCGACGATGTCATCATCGGCATGAGCCTTAGTTCTAAAAATACCCAACTTTTACGCGTTAGGGGGTTCTTATCATTCTAGTCAGTAGTAGTCTGAAAGTTTAACCTTTGATTTTCGTGGCTTATTGGGGAAGTAAGGAACGGGCAGCACGAGTTCTCAACAAGCAGCCTGGAATTTCAGACCGCCACCGTGCTCAACCTACTGGTCATGCGGGACACGTCTTACATAGAAGCCTAAATAATTACCAACATTATTCCGTACGGTTCCTTACTATAACTATACCCAAAGCCCTATTCTAGTTATTTAGGCCCCATACGTTATATGCACTCCGGCCTAAATTAGGGAATGCTGGCCTCCGCGGCGTGTTCGAGAAGAAAAAGACTGTCCGGCTGAGGCCTAGGGCTGGTTTGAGGTTTAGGGTTTAGGGTCTGGGGCTTAGGGTTTAGGGTTTAGGGTTGCAGCGATCTGGATGCTGCTACTCTGCTGTTAGCGTCGTTGTCATATTGCTGATGATCTTCATGCCGTCGTTGATGCTGTAGTTGACGACTGCGTCCTACCCTAACCTAAACCCTAAGCTTAAACCCTAAACCCTAAACCCTAAATCCCTAAACCCGAAACCCTAAACCCCTAAACCCTGAGCCCCAAACCCTTCTTCTTAGGGCTGGTGGTGCTAATGAGAAGTGACGATGACTGCTGATGCTGGCGGAGCGGAGAGCAGAAGGCCGGGCTCCTGGGTGTTTCTGGTCCGCGATCATTATTTTAGGGTGTAGGGTTTAGGGTTTAGGGTTTGTTATTAGTTTTATTCGGATTGCGGCTATCATTTATTATTCTGTCTGGTCATGCTTGTTCTGATTGTTATCATTACGGCTATGACTTTGTGAGAACTGCTGTTATCATTGTTGTGTCTGTGTTATTCTTTATTGCTATTATTGCTGTTATGGTGATTATTTCTGTGCTTCCGAGTATACTGATTATCAGTATCATCGTCATTGTCGTTATTGCTATTATTGTTATTATTAGTGCTAGTGTCATTGCTAGTGTTATGGTTATGGCTATTGTTATTGTTGCTTTCGTTATTGCCACTGTTAGTGTTACTGTTTTGGTTATGGTTTTCGTTCTTGTTATTGTCATTGTGATGATTGTTGATATTATTGCTATTGTTCGTGCTATTAATTCTATTGTTTCTCGCTACTGATCCTATTCTGCTTATGTTCATTGTCATTGTTGTTATTGGTGCTATTACTACCATAAACTTTGAAATTACTCCTATTCATATTCTTATTCTTATCCTTATCCTGATTCTTATTCTTACCCTTATTCTTATTCTTATTCTTCATCTTCTTCTTATTCTTATCCGTAGGCTTATTCTCATTCTTTTTATTTCATTCTTACTGTTACTATGACTACTACTACTACTACTACTACTACTACTAGTAGTCGTCTTCGTCGTGTCGTCGTCGTCGTCGTCGTCCAAGAGTATCACTGCGTTAATTATTGTGATGATTGCTATTAGTAAAATGCTCATTATCACCATTGCTCATTATGATTATTGCTACTCTCGTTACCATTGTTGCCATGGAGACACTGAAATTTTTGCTGCTGCTGAGAGCGATGATGAGGATACCGATGCGCGAAAGCTTGCTGTGATGGTGAGGACGATGCCGGTTTCTGACGCCGAAGCAGTGGAACCAACGTCAGCCGGATCGATCCGGATCCTTTTACCCTAAACCCAAAGCCCTAAACCCTAAACAGCACCGATTGAATTGACCCTGAGCGCTGTGTCTTGCAAGCTGTCGCAGGAGACTACGCCCCTCTTTAAATTTCTACGTTATGGATTTCTGTCATGAGTTGAGGACCATTCCTTCAGTTTAAGCTGAGGATGGTTCCTGAGTATGGCTTCTGGAATGATCGCCAAAGCCTGAACCCGAAACCCTAAACCACAAACCCCACAACCTTAAACCCTACGCGCACGGACATCTATGGATGTTGGAGTCGACGGAACGGGCTTCTGAAAAGAGTCTTTTGGAGCTAGCTAGGGATATATGATAAACGTCAGGCATCAGTGGTTAAGTGTCTCAAACTCCTGTAGCCGCCCTAGCCGAGAAACCCTTGACAAAAGCCTGGAAAACCCTTCGTAAAGCCTTGTACAGGCCCGAAACAAGCCACACTAAACCTTAAACCCTAGACCCTAAACCCTAAACCCTGGATCCTCGAAATCCCTTCTCTGCCCGATAAGCACCCGGTGGAACGAGGCTGCACTGACCGCTGGCCACAGGTGGCGCTTCAGCCCATTGCGCCCGCCGCAGGCTTCTGGATTTTAAGAGTTTTCCGGTTTCGGGTTTAGGGTTTCGGGTTTCGGGTTTAGGGTTTCGGGTTTAGGGTTTAGGGTTTAGGGTTTCGGGTTTAGGGTTTCGGGTTTCGGGTTGAACTGTCATTGTCATCGTCATTGTCATCTTGACCGTGATCGTCATCGTCATCGTCGGCATTACACAGCTTCGCTTCTCAGGGGTCTAAGCACCGCCTTGAACCCAAATTCACCATTCAACCCTAACCCCTGAACCCTAAACCCTACGCCCACTCACTCAAGCACTTAAAGGTTAGCAGGGTCCTCTGCGAAACGGATTTGGTCAACAAGTGATGCATTGTGCATTTGCGTGCAAGGATAAAATAAGCAGGTTGAAGGTTTGAGTTTAACAGTTTGCACTTTGAGGTTTGGGTTCAAGAGTTTAGGGCGTACATAAGGTCTGGACTTAGAAGCTTTAGGGATCGAGGCTTGGGTTGAATGTTTGAGAGTTTCTGCTTTGAAGGTGTAGGGCTAAGATATTAGGTGGCAGATCCCGAGACGGTGCAAGGAAAGCTGAACCCTGAACCTTAGACCCAAGGCATTGAGCTCATGCCAGTACGACTAACCATCCGTCCGGCACAAAGAATACCACCACCAGGGGTAGTTCTCTAAATTGGGTTCCCTTTTAGGGTAAGTTTTGTGAGGGTGCCGTACTGTTCTTTTGGACCTAGAAAGGGTTTAGGGTTTAGGGTTTGGGGGGAGACTTACACTTAAGAGTGGAGGCTCTCAGTCCGCACATGACATTGCCCTGCCCCGAAAGCTCCAGTGTCGCGTAGCATGCTGGAGTCTGGCCATAGCGAAGGTGGCTGGACAGTTGCGCCGGATTCCGGAGCTAGTAGCTTAGCAGTTGCGACTCCAGCCCAACCCCTAAACCCCTAAACCCCCAAACCCCAAATACCCAAAACCCCTCAAAACAACGGAGCCCGCAACACAAAACCACCAAAACCCCTAAAGCCCGGAACCCCACCTCAGACCCAAAACCCCAAAGCCCTTAGGCACGGAGGGTTTAGGATTCTTGAGGGTTTGGGGGTTTAGGGGTTTCCGAGATGTAGGGTTTAAGGGGTCCCCCTTATGAAGAGTGACCTATTTTGTTGACTCTGAAGCCTCACAGCTCACAGTGCAGGCGAAGTTCCAGCTCCCAGAACGGGCCGCGATCGAAATGCGAAGCAAAAGCTGGTCGCCAAACTGCTTTGCCGCTTGGCTGTGCTCTTTTTATTCCGAAGTTCGCATGATTTCGAGCAGAGGCGTTACAAGCGCTTCTATGGTTTTTTAGCCGCAATTTCAGGGTTTATGTAGAATTGCATTTCTATTGGGTAGCGGCGTGTTTATAGGGTTTATTGGGGTTGATAGTGCATTTGTATTGGTTTATGTAGATTTATATGGGCTTAACCAAAGGTCGGGAGTTCTTCAGTTGCCAGGCAGTGCGGAGTTTGAGATGGAGGATGCAGAGTTCCCCTAAACCCCAAAACCCTAAACCCCTGAAGCCCTAAACCCCGAAACCCTAAACCCCTAAACCCTAAACCCCTACTAACACCCTAAACCGAAGCCCTAAAACCCTAAACCCCGTAAGCCCTAAAACCTAAACCCCGAAAACCAAAACCCCTGAGCTCTAGGCCCAAAGCCCTTTTAATTTTAAGGGATCCTTTAAGGGCTCCTTTAAGGCATCCTTTAAAGCATCCTTTAAGGGATTCTTTAAGAGTCTCGGGCTTGAGGTGGAGGAGCTTCGGAGTGCTGGTTTCAGGGCTTGGGGTTTGGGAGAATAGCCGTTTGGGTGCAGGTCTAGGAGTTTAGGGTTTTGGGGTTTAGGGTTTAGGGGTTTAGGGGTTTAGGGTTTAGGGTTTACGGGGTTTAGGAGTTAAGGGTTTAGGGTTCTAGGGTCTATTCGAGAGTGTTTAGAAGCTTGTTGTTGAGGGCACTCGTTTGAGCTCTTGCATGATGTTTAGCACAGCGGCTGCAGGGTGCTCGATGGCTGGTTCGTGTTCCGAAGCCCTAAGCCCTGAAACCGCGCAGCCTAGACCCCAGCCCTAGGTACAAGATGTGCTATGCTTTCCATCGGCTGCCTTCGGTTCAGGACGATAGCTCCTAAACCCCTCGACCTGAGTTAGAGTCTGGAGCCTACACCCTCGAATCCTACACTGAACCCTAAACACGAGCACCCTAAGCCCTAAACCGAAGGCCTGTTGATTCTATCCACCTCCGCCCTCCACCTCCCCACCTGACCATAAGCCCTCTAGTCTTACACCCGAGACCGGGAGCCCAGGCCGTTGGTGGTACGTTCTGCCCGACTGGCCGCCCAAGGACTTCGACTGTGAGGCTGCGCTCGCCGAAAGAGGTGCGGACTTCAGAGCTATCGTTGCGGGGTGCATGGCACTAGTTGGTGCTTTGGGGGTTGCCTTTAAGGGTCTAGGCTTTAAAACTTAGGGTTTAGGGGTGTGGCCTGCTTAACGGCCCTACTATGTAAGGGTATAAGTAAGCCTGTAAGTAGGATAGTAACACCACTTAGCGGACTTACAGCGCCAAGCCACTTGAGCCCATTTGTAGAGAGTTGATACTGAAAGATGTAGAGGGATTAACAACTTGGGTGGTCAGTTTGGTACTGATCGTCTTACTCACCTAGAACCCCAAATTAAGCTGCTGAACACCCCCTATTCCAAATTCTCGCCCCTGATGCAGTTTAATCAACCGATTCCGCACGAAGGGCTCCGAGCAGTGCAGAGGGCAACGCGCCCCTTGCTGTCCTATAGGGTTGTGGGTCTAGGATTTTGGATACTCGTTTCAAGTATGCGTCCTAACTATGCTAAGCCGGACTTCCTGGTGGTTCGTAGAATGATGGGCTTTCGGCAGCACCAAAGATATGAAGCCTCACTAAGCCTGAAGCTTCAAAGCCCTTCCA